GTGTATTTATTTTAAATATGGGTTTATTCTTAATAACTAAACAGTATTAATTAATAGAAAACAGAATAATAATAATAGTCAGTCATTACATGACTTTAACATCTAATTTATCCGTAAATTCTTGAGAACAGTTTTGCACCATTTTGTTTTTGATGGTCTATAATTTTAGCATTTATTCTTCACAAATTATATAGTTTATTGTGCTTAAAAGGCAATGTTTAAAGTGCATTCCTTTAAGCGCGGAAAATGTATTTATTCGTTCGTGAAAACACACCACATAATGATTCAAGCGGTTTAAAATAAAATGAGCATTTTGATTTTAATGACTGAACCCATTTCGTGTGTGTTTTAAATTGTAGGGTATAATTTAAACAAATATAAGGACAATTTTCAGCCAAAACGCGATGTATTTTGATCAGATCTATCTGCATAAATCTGCAAGAGGTTGGTTTTTGTTGCGGAGCTGCGCTTACGTAAATTGCGTAATTATTTGTCATCTGCTGCCACCCAGCGGCCGCGTCAGGAACAGCAGTGCTTCTTTTTAGGAAAACAATCCCGTCATAGAGGGTTGATGGTAAAATAGCTAGGCATTAGATATTGAAGTAAATATTTCTGACTAATTTTGATCCAAAAATCTTAACTTATTAACTAAATCTTAAAGGCTAAGTTGGATATAATCATCCATTTACATAAAAACAGCTGATTGTGGAGCCGCTCTATCTCCATTGAGGGTGTTAGTGTCAGTATGGTAAAAACACACACACACTATTTATTTACTCTAACGTGTTAAGTATTTACTGTAACGTATTAGAGTTAAAAGCTCAGCATAAATGAGTTCAGCCCATATTAAAAATTTGTATTTTTATCCATTTCTCAGTGAATATAGGTCATATACTTCGGTGCATTTGAACAAAACAGATTTATTGAGCATATATGTTTATTAAAATATATTTTAGTCACCAAACATCTTTAGAAATAGAAATATAACACATTTAAATTCAAGCAAAATGTTGCCAAAAAATTATAAGCTGCTAAATTTCATATATTTTGTTTTGTTTCTCTTGATTCTTGCTTTATAAAGAATTAATAATTTCCCATTACATATAAATTAAATCATTCATTTTCTTTTCGGCCTAGTCCCTTTATTAATCTGGAATCGCCACAGTGGAATGAATCGCCAACTAAGCCAGCATATGTTTTATGCAGCAGACGCCCTTCCAGCTGCAATCTAGGACTGGGAAACATCCATACACACTTAATCACACACACACACACTCATAGCTTATCAGTCCCCCTATAGCGCATGTTTTTGGAAACCAGAGCACCCAGAGGAAACCCACGCCAACACGGGGAGAACATGCAAACTCCACACAGAAATGTCAACTGACCCATCTGGGACTCAAACCAGCGACCTTCTTGCTGTGAGGCGATCGTGCTACCCACTGTGAAGCCCACATGTACATTTGGGCTACGAATTTTTAGACTGATATCATAAACTATTTCGTTAGATAAGCTCCAGATTTGGCTTCAGTACTGACAGTGTATGCGCAAATACACTCGCCGGCCACTTTATTAGGTACACCTTACTAGTACCGGGGTGGACCCCTTTCGCATTCAGAACTGCCTTAATCCTTCGTGGCAGAGATTCAACAAGATACTGGAAATATTCCTCAGAGATTTTGCTTCAAATTGTCATGATAGCATCACACAGTTGCTGCAGTTTTGTCGGCTGCACATCCATGATGCCAATCTCCCGTTCCACCACATCCCAAAGCTGCTCTATTGGATTGAGCTCTGGTGACTGTGGAGGCCACTTGAGTCCAGTGAACTCATCGTCATGTTCAAGAGACCAGTCTGAGATGATTGAGCTTTATGACATGCTGCGTTATCCTGCTGGAAGTAGCCATCAGAAGATGGAGACACTGTGCTCATAAAGGGATGGACATGGTCAGCAGCAATACTCAGGTAGGCTGTGGCGTTGATGCTCAATTGGTACTAATGGACCCAAAGAAAATCTCCCCCACACCATTACACCACCACCACCAGCCTGAACCGCTGATACAAGGCAGGATGATCCATGCTTTCATGCTGTTGAGGCCAAATTGTGAGCCGAGCATCTGAATGTGTCAGCAGAAATGGAGACTCATCAGAGCAGCAACGTTTCTCCAATCTTCTATTGTCCAGTTTTGGTGAGTCTGTGTGAATTGTAGCCTCAGTTTCCTGTTCTTAGCTGACAGGAGCGGCACCCGGTGTGCTCTTCTGCTGCTGTAGCCCATCCGCCTCAAGGTTGGACGTGTTGTGTGTTCAGAGATGCTCTTCTGCAGAGCTCGGTTGTAGCGAGTGCTTATTTGAGTTACTGTTGCCTTTCTATCAGCTGGAACCAGTCTGGCCATTCTCCTCTGACCTCATCAACAAGGCATTTGCGCCCACAGAACTGCCGCTCACTGGATATTTCCTCTTTGTCGGAGCATTCTCTGTAAACCCTAGAGATGGTTGTGCGTGAAAATCCCAGTAGATCAGCAGTTTCTGAAATACTCAGAGCAGCCCGTCTGGCAGAAACAACCATGCCACGTTTAAAGTCACTTAAATCCCCTTTCTTCTCCATTCTGATGCTCGCTTTGAACTGCAGCAGATCGTCTTGACCGTCTTGAAATGCATAGAGCTTCTGCCATGTGATTGGCTGATTAGAAAGTTGTGTTTATGAGTGGCGAGTGTATATTATAAAGCTTCCTATAGAAAATATTAATTTAATAATGTAATAATAGATTTGTGAGTATATTGTCATATACACCAAGCACTGTATTACATTTTCCCCTGTTCTTATTTTTAATAACATTTTATATTATTTATATATTTGTATAATGTTTTGACACCATTCTGATCCCGATGCCTAATTATAAAATGTATTATTATATATTTATTATTTAATATATATTTTTTATTATATATATATATATATATATATATATATATATATATATATATATATATATATAATGCTAAATAAATATTACACTCTCAAAAATAAAGGTATGCAAGTTGTCTCTGGGGTGGTACCTTTTCAAAAGGTACTAATTTGTACATAATAGGTCAATATTAATATCTCAAGGGTATACATTAGTACCTAAAAAGTGTTCCTCTTAAAATTTTTAGGTACTAATTTATAGTATTGAGATACCAAAATGGACCCTTTAAGTACAAATGTGTACCTTTTGAAAAGGCATCACCCCAGTGACAGCTCAGGTATCTTTATCTGTGAGAGTGCACCGGTCAAAGGTTTGGGGTCAGTAGGATGTTTAAATGTGGGTAAATGAGCTTCTGCTCACCAAAGCTGCATTAGTTTCATCAAAAAGTACAAATGGTAAAATTGTGAAATGCTAAGGCACTGTAATATAAATGTTCAACAGTAGATTATAATGTAATTAAATTATTTGTTCCAGCGATTTTCAAGATATTCAGCTTAATACCCCATCTTCAGTCACATGATCCTTCAGAAATCACTCTAATATTAATAATAATTATTATTATTATTTTTGCTTATAGTAACAAAAGCAATAATGACAGGAGTAATAATTTCATTTGAAACTACATACAATAAGAAATAAATATTCAATAAATAGGTATTTAACAATTGTTAATAAATGTAGCCTTAATGAACAGAATCATTTTCTTAAAATAAAAAATAAAATAATTAAAAAAACAAACTTACCCCAAACTTTTGACCAATAGTGTCAAATATATATATATATATATATATATATATATATATATATATATATATATATACAACAGTTCTGTCTGGTTCTCGAATCTGATTGGCTGATAGCCGTGCGATATTCTGCAATATCAGAACTCCTACAGCCTCTTTACCCTTTGTGTATTACTCCGCCCACATACAGCCAGCAGAGAGCAGACACTACACATCTAAAGTGTAAAAGATGCTTGCTCAGCTGTTTACCTGTCAGCTTATGATTTGAATCCGGAAGAAAGTAGTTCCTCATACAAAAGGGTTTTTGAGACTCTCCATGTTTGATTTTGTTTTTATATACACAGTTAAGGCGTCAAACTGTTGTATAAACGCAATATTACACGAGTAGCAGTGCGATATGGCTGTATATCCACACTGGTGGGGGCACTAAGGCACTCGGCCTCGTGCCAACGCACGCCTCCCACCAGTGCCGATATACAGCCATATCGCTCTGCTACTCGTGTGATATTGTTCATATATATATATATATATATATATATATATATATATATATATATATATGATGTGTTTTGAAAGAGTGCACTTGCGTTATGATAATGCCGTTATATTGTCATTCCAGCATTACATTATTCTAGAATGACATACTCTCCCACAAACACAGATACAGGAGATGTTAAAAAGCATTATTCGCCCCCTTTGATTCATTTTCCTTTCTTAATTATTTCCCAAATGATGTTGAACAGATTGAGGAAATGTTCACAGTATGTCTGATCATATTTTTTCTTCTGGAGAAAGTCTTATTTCTTTTATTTCGGCTAGAGTAAAAGCAGTTTTTAATTTTTTAAACACCATTTTAAGCTCAATATTATTAGCCCCTTTAAGCTATATTAGTTTTCAATAATCTACAGAACAAACCATCATCATACAATAACTTGCCTAATTACCCTAACCTGCCTAATTACCCTAATTACCCTAGTGAAGCCTTTACATGTCACTTTAAGCTGTATAGAAGTGTCTTGAAGAATATCTAGTCTAATATTATTTACTGTCATCATGATGAAGAGGAAATAAATCAGTTATTAGAGATGAGTTATTAATTATTATTATGATTAGAAATGTGTTGAAAAAATAAAATTGAGACTAATAATTCAGACTTGAACTGTACATATGATCTCACACGCACTAAAACTCTCAGACACACACACACTCTCTTACAAAAACACACACATATATTCTGTCTCTCACACACAAATGAAATCAGACACACAAACACGCACAGCAGCCGCCTGCCTTTGAAAAAGGATCGACTTTATTTACAGGAACATTTTCAGGTTTGAGATAAAAACAATTGATGATCACCGCCTCATTGAGACAAAGCTGTCTCTCTCTCTCTCTCTCTCTCTCTCTCTCTCTCTCTCTCTCTCTGATGACGGAGCCGCCTGTGTGTGTGTGTGTCTGAGATAGTTAGTTTGACTATGTGTGTGTCTAATTTGAGTGTGTATGTCTGTAAGTGTAAGTGTGTGTGTGTGTGTGTGTGTGTGTGTGTGGAGGGGGTGCAGAATATGTGTGTGTTTAAGTGTTTTGTGAGAGAGCATATGCCTCTGAGTTAGTTTGAGTGTGTGAAACAATGTATGTGTGTGTACATTTAAAAGAATGTGTGCGCGCACATGTATGTCACTATGTGTGTGTGTCAGTATACATTTATGTCTATGTATGTCAGAGAGAGTTTATATCAGTGTGTGTGCAAGTGTATGAGTGCGTTTGTGTGTGTGAGTAAGAGATTACGTATGTGTGTATATGAGTGAGTGTGTGTGTGTGTGTGAGCAAGAGTATATATGAGAGTGTGTGTGTTTGTTTGCCCAGTCATGTTGGCAGAGAGAGATGCCCGTGGAGAGATTCAGCAACATGTCGAACTCGTCTTTTCCTCTTCAGTGACTTTCTCCTTTCTTACCCACAACCTGCGTTATACACACACACACACACACACACACACATACATACATACACACACATTACAAACACAAACCTCCATAATAATGATAATATATTCAGTATTTCAGTGGAGATCGTCCTCCTGTACAGACCCGTTTGAAGTCGTTCATGTTCGTGGCCTGCACTGGAGTCCCGATAAACGTCAAATAGTTGATTTTTGTCGTCTCCTCGTCTCCCTGGTTTGACTTGATAAATAACTGAAAATAAAGCAGATGCAAAATGACAAACCTTCATACTAATGAACAGGGCTCAGATTAACACCAGCCTTGTAAAACTCTTCTGAAGGTGTGCTGTGAATTGTTCCTTTTTTATTAGATGTTTGACGTAATCTAAGCTGAAACATGAAAAGAGGGTGGGGCTTATATTAGCCCCTCCCCCTTTTAAGCCCGCCAATAGAGTTGTTTTTCTCACAGCTTTGCCAGTGAGTGGTTGAGCGCAAGCGCATCAAATGAACAGCCAATGAGAAAAGGGGGGCGGGGCTGGTCGGATACTAGAGAGGATTTGATTGGTGATGAAAACCTGAAGTATGAGGAGTTTGACGCAATTAGGCGGAAGAGGCAAACTGGGAACTTTGAATATTTACATCAGGTTTATACACTCACCGGCCACTTTATTAGGTACACCTGTCCAACTGCTTGTTAACGCAAGACAAATGCTGACGTGTTCAATACTTATTTTCCCAGAGTATGTTACTTATGACCGATGTAATTCGATTTGTTTGATGATAATGTAACGTACAGTCACGCTGTTGACGTTCTGAAACTTGACGTATCGGAGCGGGATGAGGCCGTCGTCTTTATAATCCTCCTCTGACAGATCCAGAGTCTGTGTGGCTTCACTTCTCTCCGCGTCATCGAAACCCATCGAACGAGGAAGATTAATGAAGATCTTCACACTCTTTGGAGCTTGAGCTGAAAACACACAACATGGGGAGAAGGTTTATATCAGTGTGTGTGAGTGTGTTAGTGGCTTTGTGAAACACTGAAATATTTAATGCATTATTTATTAGGCATGCTGCAATACTCAATATAATGTTAGACCGTTCAGTAAGACCTCTTGCTGTATCTTCAATAAGTTCTGCCTTGTGAAGTAAACATTTTCTGTAACTTTCTCATTGTGCTGCATCTGTGGATTGTCTTAAATCCTCTTCTTCCAGCTGTCTGTGTTTTTAATAATAATCAACTAAAGCTAATGAACTCGCTCTGCTCTCGACTGAGCAGCTCAGTAAGGGTTAACCTTTATTTCATTTGTGCAGTGAACATTATATACATATATCTGATTATATTTTGTAGTTTATGTAACTGGAAACTACTGTTAGCTACATGACAACCCTAAAATGCGCTGATTATTTCAGTGTTATCTTTGCTATTCTGTGTTTTCTTGTGTTGTGTTTGGCTTGTAGTTTTTTATTCACTTCATTTTTATCTGACACTGCTTTTTTACTGAACACATCCAATACCAAACCATACTGAAACTAGAGACCTAGAACGAAAACTAAATGATTTATAGTGTTCTGAGAGCCACATAACATCAGTCTGGAGCAGAATATATGGCCACAGACTGAAACGCACTGTGTATTTCAGTGTTATCTTCACTATGTGAAGTTTATGTATAAACAAATTTCGAGAGGATCACGTGAGGATCACGTGCTTATGATTGCTAGCAGCTGACCCGCATTATCTAATTCACTACGATCCAATCAGATGACTCCTAAACTAATATAAATACCCAGGGGTTTATTCCATTGCTATCTTCGTTTTGAAGAGTCCCCCCTTCCTCCCCTACTCCTCCTTCTTAGACGGGTGACACGGTGGCCCAGTGCCTAGCACTGTCGCCTCACAGCAAGAATGTCTCTGGTTCCTGGCTTTACCAAAACTAGCAGACATTTCTGTGTGGAGTTTGCACTTCTCCCCGTGCTCATGTGGGTTTCCCCCGGGTTCCCCGGTTTCCTCCCACCGCCTAAAAACATGCAATTAAGTCAATTGAACAATCCAAATTGTCAACATAGACATGCTTCTAGTTAGTAATTAATTTCAAGAGCATTCACTTGCTACAGCAGGGGAGTTCTCGAGATCTACCTGAGCTCAAACTCCCCTCCCGCCTTGCAACGGGAGGGAGCCCTGGGCTCGAGGATCTCATGAGCTCAGGGCTCTCTCCCGGGACAGCACGCCAAACAAGCTTTATAATTAATCATCAGCTAAGTGTGAACTCTTGAAACTGTATTTATTTGTATTGTATTTTGCTTGTAGTTTATTTACTTTATTTTTATCTGACACTGCTTTTTAACTGAACATATCCAATTCCGAACCATACTAAAATCATGACCTAAAACAAAAACTAAATGATTTATAGTGTTTAGAGAGTCACATATCATTAGTCTGGAGCAGATTATACGACCACACACTGTTTATTTCAGTGTTATCTTCACTATACTGTATTTATTTGTATTGTATGTTGCTTGTAAAGTTTAACTATTAATTTGTTATCTGTTAATAACATATCAAATACCGAATCATACCGAAACCATGACTTAAAACAAAAATAAACTCCAAGAAGTCTGTATTATTGCATTGATAATATCTATAGTCAATTTATAGTGTTCTGAGAGTCACATATCATCAGTCTGCAGCAGAATATATGGCCACACACTGAAACACACTGTTTATTGTTATCTATCCTATACTGTATTTATTTGTATTGGACGGTTTGTAGGATTTTATTTTATTTGACTGCTTTTTACTGAATATATCCAATACTGAGAGCATGACCAACAGTGACAAACTAAACCGAAGACGTCTGAGAAGCCTATTTTTGCAATCCTAATATTTATAGTTGATTTAAAGTGATCTGAGAGTCACATATCATCAGTCTGAAGGAGAATATATGACCACAGACTGACATTTTTTCTAATGTATCTTGCTTGTAGAGTTTATTTATTTGTTTGTTTGTATGACAGTGCTCTTTTATTGAACATATCAAATACAGAACCTTACCAAAACCATGACTTAAAACCAAAATAAACTCCAAGAAGTCTGTATTATTGCATAGATAATATTTATAGTTGATTTAAAGTGTTCTGAGAGTCACATAACATCAGTCTGCAGCAGAATATATGGCCCAAGACTGAAACGCACTGTTTATTTCAGTGTTATCTTTGCCATATTTAATTTATTTGTATTGTCTTTTGCTTGTAGTTTTTTAATGCACTTTATTTGAATTTGACACTGCTTCTTTACAGAACATATTCAATTCCGAACCATACTGAAACTGTGACCTAAAACAAAAACAAGCATTGAGAAGTCTGTATTGCTGCAACCCTAATATTTATAGTTGATTTATAGTGTTCAGAGAGTCAAACAACATCAGTCTGCAGCAGAATATATGACCACGCACTGTTTATTTCCTATACTGTATTTATTTGTATTGTATTTTGTGCTGAACATATCAAATACTGAAACTGTGACCTAAAACTGAAACCTAAATCTATTAGTATTGGATTTTAACACATTTAGATTGGACATTGTGGTATTTCGTTTCGCTATGATTTACATATGGATATATATTTCAATATGAATATAATTTCCGCAGATGATTTGAATAGCTCTATTTGGAAAGACCGCATTAATTTAGACCGATTGTAGAGAGCAAGTCTTTTTCTCTGTAGTGCATCTGCATTAAAATATAATACAAAAACAAAAGTTGAATAAACAGAGCTTTTCTGGGGAGCCAAAACGTAAAACCGAAGTGTGAGGAGTCTGTTGCACCTCTAATAATTAGTCGATTTACAGCTGGAACGGAATATATGACCACAGACTGGAAATACAAGACTGATCGGCTGACAGAAACACGTCTTACCAAAATCAGCAGACAGCAGTTTCATGGAGAAGAGTTTGACAGGTTGATTGAAGGCCATTGTGATCAGAAGCTGAAAGTAAAACACAGATTCATCAACACTGCAGATCCAGTTTATACAGCACATGAGATCTGATCTTAAATAAACACACATTACGGTTTTACTTTCTGTTTAAAACAGGGGTCTCAAACTCGCGGCCCGCAGGCCATTTGCGGCCCTCAGTGCAATATTTTGTGGCCCACGCCGACCGCTGTACACTGACAGAATCAGATTCTATCCGTACACAGCGGTCACTGGCATTCCCCGCCCGCCGTGTAAACAAAGGGGCGGGGATGTCGGTGACGTCACCACGCACCCCGCCCCTTTGTTAGACGCTGTGACGGGCGGGAAGTGTTAGGAGGGAACTCGCGCCGGCCAGAACCAAGCTGTTCCCGCCCCTGCCTGCCACTTAGCTACCTAACTGCAGCCTGCCACCTACCGAGCTACAGCCTGCATCTTATATATATTATAGGTAGATACAGACTGGTACAGACTGATGTGACTGGAGTGGGGTGGGGGTGTTTTATTTATACATATATACGCCTTTTTTTAGGTGAGGGAATGGAAGTTTTGAGTGAGTTCCCCCACTTTTTTCCCTAGGACTTCAATAAGTCAAAGTACAGGTCTAGACTTAATGATGATCATCTTCAATCCATACTGAGGGTCTCAACTGCGTCCGCTCTAAAGCCAAATGTGGTTCAGATTTGTGAGAAGAAGCGCTGTCAAGTCTCTGGCAGCAAGAAGTAGGCAAAAGATGCCATGTTCAGAAGAACTGTTCATAATCTTCACTCAATGTTCTGTTAATGTTCAGGACACTTCATGTTCAGAAGAAATAATTAAAACTGTTAATAATGACATTTGAGGACTTTTTTTTTGTGAAATCCCTTATGCGGCCCAGCCTCACCCAGACTTTGCCTCCTGCGCCCCCCAGGTAAATTGAGTTTGAGACCCCTGTAATAGTGTATATGCAGAAGGACTTTAATGTTCAGTAACCCAGCTCAAGCGCTTCTGGTGAACTGTATGCTCTTAAAAAAACGATCACCACATTTAAGACCTGATTTTCCGGACTGACATAGGATATAAAGTTGCTTTCAGAATGTACAAGGAGCACTGCATTACATTACACTGATCAGTGCCGTGTCTTTAAAATATGGATGTTTACTTTACCACAGTATATTCAATGGAGTTTCTGTGCTTGCCTGCTGATCCTGACGGCGCTTGTGTTCACACGATCTTTCATCTCGTTTTACTCTTGAACAGCTAAATGAATGCTGAAGTCTATTCAACTGATTATTATTAAATTACATTACAACACTGATGCTTTAAAAAGAACCTTATGAAACTGAAAATAGTCGCATTAATCTTTCACTGGAAGTTTATCGGTAGGGGAAAACACCAGCAGTAAATATATACCCTATAGATATGTGGGTTTCAAATGACAAAAATAAGTTGAAGTGTTAAAGTCACAGAGTCAGCAGAGTTTAGTTTCACCTGTTCATCACAGTCTGACTCCAGGTAAGTGGAGTCTTTGATTAAGCAGCTGTCGAATCCACAGTCGTCGCTCTCATTCAGACACTCACAACCTGCTTTATTCACGAACGGCATCAGATCCATCTGAGAAACACACAACATCAACACAACATCACACACATAGTCACGTTGATCAGCTGGTTTGTCTAGAATCTGACATATGAGCGATCCGCTGATGAATCGCAGCTTTAAAACGCTCCAGTGTGCCGGTATCTGTGGTTACACTCAGTAAACCGTGGTGAGTTCAGTAAACTGATGACCTTCACGGCCAATCACAGTCATTTCTGTTGAGCACATGAACACAATGGCCAATCAGCAGTGTTTAAGGACATGATCAACAGCGCTCAAATGTTTAATTTCAGTATTAATTGGTACCGAATTCCAGTATTGTGACAACCCTAAACTGTAGAATTACATATAATGACAAAATAATGTTTGGAAGAGTAAATCTATATTTCAAACTGACATCCTACAGAAAAATATAGAAATAATCCCCTTTACCCCTTCATTTTTTTTGGAAATACTGGTGGCCTTTTGCACAGTACTGTATATTATATGGATTAAAGACACTTATGAGAGATTATTTATTTATTTTTTAGATATTTATATATATTTTTATTTTCTAAAACCTTTGAAGAGCTCTCTTACTCTCTCATACACACTATATACACACTATAAAACATATAAAAGACAGAAACTATGCTTTTTTTGCACCGCAACTGATGATCAACAGTACAAATGAATGCATGATTATATGCTGTCATGGCTTTGCAATCAATAAATGTGATCATAATAAAAGTTGATGGGGTAAAAACAGCCCCAAACATAACCAAAGGGTGGAAGATGTGCAGAGTGTATTGTTTTTTCAAAATATGTTTTAAAATAAGGTTTTTCCGCAAAAACAAATAATCCATTTGCTGAAACACAGAGGAAATTGTGACCAAATTAATATTAAAAAACAGCCCAGAGTGGATGAAAACGACCCAACGGCACACTACAGGGTTACACTCATGAATTTCAGGGAGTTTCATTAAATGTGCAGGATTGGTTGGCTGAAACTCACGTATCCTTTAGGAATATCGGAGTCTTCGTTGCTGCCTGGATCGTTCTCCACGTGCTGTTTGATTTTCTCCTCTAGTCCGGAAGCGTCTGCGCCCTGATACTGGTCCACACGCACTTTATTTCGGAAAAACAGGAACGTCGGTGTTGCTGAGATATTATTGGCGGCAGCTGTTGCCTAGGAGACGAGAAAAAAGCCACACAGACATACATTTAGTTAACACTACCAGTGTTATTCTAGCATCACTGAGATACTTTTATAGTTTTTATACTTTTATATATATATATATATATATATATATATATTTTTTTTTTTTTTTTTGCTGACATACACTACCTGACAAAAGTCTTAGTAAGTATTAACTTAAGTAATAACTTAAAATCTGATCATGTCTTGATGTTGACTGATTTGATGAGGACAGTAAGCTCTGACTCTGCTCAGACTAAAGTGTCATCACTGAACAAAAATAATGTCCAGTATAGAATATAAAGTCCTGCTGCAGTGGAGACAGAATGAATATTGTGTCTGACTCCATCATGAGCTTGGAGGACTGCATCCATACATCTCTGACATGACTCACATCACTGATTAATAAAGTCATCTGGAATGAAGAAGAAAGCGTTCAGCAGGACTCCCAGAGCTCAACAAGAGTCTTTGTGCTCATCTTCAACCCCTTCTCCTTCATCAGATCAATAATGTTCATGTCTGGTGACTGGGCTGGCCAATCCTGGAGCAGCTTGCTCCTGCTGGAGAATTGTCCCTCTCCTGTGGTTTGTAATGTAATGGGCAGCACAGATGTCTTGATACCTCAGGCTGTTGATGTTGCAGATCTCTCGCACGCCCCCATACTGAATGAACCCCAAACCATGATTTCTCCTTCACCAAACTTGACTGATTTTTGTGAGAATATTACTCCATGCTGGTTCCAGCAGGTCTTCTGCAGTATTGGTGATGATTGATGCAGATCAACAGATGATCCAGCAGAGAAATCCACCTTCTGACACTTTAAATGATCAACTAGAAGTCGAGTTATTATTTGTTGCTCTTACAACTGAGATCCACCACAAGACTTTTATCAGGTGATGTAGAAACTGAACAGACAGACAAACCAATAGTATAAGAATAATATGAGTAAAATAAAAAAATAAAGCACGACACAAGGGAATATGGCGACATATACGACTTGGCATGGGACGCTAACCGTTTTCAAGGTATAGCGCGGTATGGAAAAGTCAAGGTTTTAAAACCTCCAAAATTTTCTGCTATACCGCTCCTTAGGTATGTAAATAAATATCTGTTTTTTAGGACAAGAGTATGTCCAGCAGAAAGATGCCGTTTTAAATTGTAAAGAAATCTGTGTTTATTTAAACAAATGAAGACAGCAGAAGTCAATGATTTCTTTCAATTATTTAGCCTGACATGTTTACTGCTCCAAAATGTTATAAATGTTTCTCAAAATATATTTTGTTCAAAGGGGGAAAAGGTTTTGTTTTTAACACAGACATTTAAAAAGAATATGTTTTAGAGCAGTGAGCACAATACCATGAAACCGTGATATTTTTATGCAAGGCTATCATACCGTCAGAATCTTTTACCGGCCCATGCCTATTTATGACCTACAAAACGACTGCAACGGATGTAAAGACAAGAAAAAAAATCTTTAGAAATAAAACATTAATCTTTATGTTTAAAAAAAAAAAAAAGACTGGATCTCACATTTTATCACATTTTGCAGAGTTCCCATATCTAATTCTTTCCAAATGTAAATGGTATGTATACTGTAAACACTGCAAGTCTGACCTGACAGACGTGGACATCGACTTCCAGAAACACAACCTGAGGATATTTGTTGCTCAACATGTTGAACGCTGGAGCTATTCTGACACAAGGACGACATCTGGACAGAGAAAAACACAAATGAGCCGGAGAAAAACACTGGACACACATGAACAGGACACAACAACATTACTTAAATGTCAAGTTTAGTGAATGTGCTTTTCAGGGTAGCTAATGGGTGGAAAGTGTCTAGTAAATTTCGATATGAACTTCTCGGGATTTTTGAAAACATTCCAAGAAACTATATGTTATATTATAATAATAATATAATAATTATAATAATAATAATATAATTATATTTTATATAAATTACTTGAAAATTTAGAGGAATTCATATAAACTTTTTATACAAACTTTTTTTTTTCTTATAAAACATAACTTTAAGGATTGATTCATTCATTTTTAGACAACACAATAGTGACATTTTAATCCCAGAAGTTTTTTTTTTTCCATATCGATCATTTCAAATCACAAAACAGTAAGCATTTATTAATTTGACACGCTTTCAATTTCAATATGCGTTAAATGACAACAGATTTATTTGAATTTTGGATTAATCTTTATCAGACTTTCACAGAATAAAACAAAAACATTAACATTTTACTCAAACCTACAGCTAATAAATCAATTAAACACAGTGGTACTTTATTTTCAAATTGTAGATACATACAACTTAGAATTATGCGGCATAATTAAATGAAAATGAAATAATTATCGTAATATTTCAACATTTGAAAGGTTTGCCTGGGTGTCGTGTTAAACACGGGCAAAACAAGTATATTCCCAAAGTGATTTGGTGAAAAATAAATCTCAATTGTTGTTGTTTTGAGCTATTGTTAACACGCTGATGTGTGTTTGCCAATTCAGGTCGGTGCTGTTCTGTTGTGTTCTCGTCCTCCTGTGTGTGTGTTTACAAAGTTATCCGAGTGTTGTTGTGTTCTCGTCCACCAGTCAGGTGTGTGTGTGTGTGTGTGTGTTTTGCAATATCATGTCAGTCAGTGTTGTGTTGTGGTCCTTTGGTCAAGTGTGTGTGTTGAGTCATGTCAAGATTGTTGTGTTGTGTTCTCGTGCAGTTGTATGTGTGTGTGTTTACTAAGTCATGCCAGTGTTGTGTTTTTGTCCTTCGGTCAGGTGTGTGTGTGTGTTATGTTAAGTCATGTCAAGATCGTTGTGTTCCCGTCCTCCTGTATGTGTGTGTATATGTTTACTAAGTCATGTCGGTGTTGTTGTGTTGTGTTTTGTCCTTCAGTCAGGTGTGTGTGTGTGTGTGTTATGCTTAGTCATGTCGGTTTTGTGTTGTGTTCACGATCTTCTGTATGTGTGTGTGTTTTGCAATATCATGTCAGGGTTGTGTTGTGTTCTGGTTTTTTGGTCGGGTGTGTGTGTGTGTGTGTGTGTGTGTTATGCTAAGTCCTGTCGGTTGTGTTCTCGTCCTCCTGTATGTGTGTGTGCGTGTGTGTTTACTAAGTCATGTCGGTGTTGTTGTGTTCTCATCCTTCAGTCAGGTGGTGTGTATGTGTGTGTTATGCTAAGTCATGTCAGGGTGGTTGTGTTTTGTTCTCGTCCTCCAGTCAGGTGTGTGTGTGTGTGTGTGTGTGTGTGTGTGTGTGTGTGTGTGTGTGTGTGTGTGTGTGTGTGTTTTGCTAAGTCATGCCGGTGTTGTTGTGTTCTCGTGTGTGTCTGATTTGCTAAGTCATGTCGGTGTTTTTGTGTTGTGTTTTCGTCCTCCGGTCAGTCTTAGTAAATGTGTGTGTGTGTGTGTGTGTGTGTGTGTGTGTGTGTGTGTGTGTGTGTGTGTGTGTGTGTGTGTGTGTGTGTGTGTGTGTGATCTGAATGAACCAGCGGCCTCACACACACACTCTCTCTCGCTCACTCACCCGCTCATGGTGAACTTCACCACGGTCAGTCTGGAACCCGCTCCGCTGAGCTCCGCCTGGAAATCCGAGTCATTCCCGATCACCTTGACCCCGACCATGACTCCAGCACACCGGGAACGAGCCGCTGATCACCGCGATTAATCAATCACCGCTAACCGGACAAATCGAGCAAAATCACCGAGCATTCGGCGCGGCACGACGCTTTTACCGGAACACGCTTCCTGTGTAGTGATGACGGAGGATACGAAACTGACCAATCACAGAGGACTCTGCAAGCGACGTCACTGGAATCGTTCGTGAGGTGTCGCAAAGCATTGCAACTGTCGTAATTGTTTTTTAATTATTATATTTTTAATTGCATGTATACGTATATCAATGAACACACATAAGCAATAACAGAAAAGGAGTACAACAATAAAATGAAAATGTAATATGACATGATTCAGCTACATGCAAAAGGTAATTGTAAGCCTTTTAAAATTAAGCATAGTTGTTTCGCTTTATTATTCCTTAATTAAGGCAAGGCGAGGTTATTTCTACAGCACATTTCACACATAATGGTAATTCAAAGCGCTTTACATAAACAAGAATAAAAGAAACAAGAAAATAAAAATTATTTAAATTATTTCAAATGATTAAAACAGATAAAACAGATTAACATGTGTTAAAACGTGTTATAAAAGAGTGAAAAAGAAAAGAAAAACGTAATAGTGCACTTAAATGTCACATTCCTGTGTAAAATGAGTAAAACTGTTTTTTACTGCGCAATTAAAATTACGATTAAAGGACTCCATAAATAATGAGAAATAATTAATTTAAAAACATATCTATATGGTTTTTAAAATTAATTTAGCATTTTTCTTTTCGTTGCTCACAGCAGAGTATTTGTTTATTTTATTGTGGATGTTTTTATAAACAAGTGTCCGAATTTATTCAGAACAAAAACAACGAACATGAAAAAATAATAAAATAAAATATATAAAATAATAAAGTAAAATAATTAAAAATTAATAATTAAATGATGTGTATTGTATTTCTTCTGAATGTGCGCTGAAAAATGTGGTTTGTTGGTAGAAGGGATACAGCTGCGGCCGGAAGTCAACGACAATTATTTGTATCATTTATAAAGTTTCCATGAACGTCTGTCTACCCCTAAACACTCACTGTAAATGTACAAACAGTTATTATAACGATAATTATTTATATTATTCATTATATTACCCATTAAATTGTATTTTATTAACGTCTACCCCTACTTTAACCTGTTTCGTAAAAACAGTTGCTATAACGATAATTATTTATTAATTTACCTATTAAATATTTTACTAACGAATACCCCAACCCTCATAGTAATGCAAATGGTTATTATAACGATAATTATTTATATTATTTATTCCATTTCTCATTAAATTGTATTTTATTAACGTTAAATATATATAATTGTTGTACAAACATGATGCTAAATTAGAAGTATTTAGAAGTATCCCTTCTAGACATTGTGTTTCCATGGTGATACTGCGATTATTAACGTAAGCAAAACATGAGCAGAATCAACACTCTGAAGCATTTAATCCTGCTGTCATTAATCGCACTGAACCAGACGAGCAACGAGCACGGTTTGTTTATTATTGAAGCTTTTTTTCTGAGAAAGAACAAATTATAAACTAAAGGTGAATCCATATATTTGCTCACTATTCTGGCTTTCTCGCCATAGAGAATTTATGAATCGCGAGTCAAAATGGCGGCATATGAACTCAGAACTGCGAGGTGATGAACAGATTAGGGGGAAAGTCACATTTTCAAGATATAAACTTACAATTTGAGAGAGATAGAGTCAGAATTGTGAGAAAGCTTTTTAAATTTACATTTCAAAGGTAAATGTGAAAGATATAGCTGCTTATATTTGCGAATTATATGCCTAATGTGACGTCTCCCTCCTCAGAACTGTGAGATTGTGTTTTAGACATGCAAGTACAAGAGACACAAGGGAAACAACTGTGAAAAATAAAATAAAATAAAAAAATACAAAATATAAATCGACTTTTCTCCCCGAGTTGTGAAGGAAAAGTCAAGTCTATTGAACTCACAACTAGTGTTGGGGTGAGTTACTTTTGAAAGTAAATATTGAGTTACTACCCAAACAAGTAACTAGTTGCGTTACTTAGTTACTTTTTATGATAAGTATGGCGTTACGTTACTTTTAACTTACTTTTGCGTTACTTTTTATTACCTTATTATTGAAAGTTTAAAGCAGAGATGCCCAAACTAGGTTGGCCTATGGTAACCTTTGAGTTGGCGGTAAAGTCTAGACCGAGTGCAATATGCTCATTAACATAGCGGCATATTTTTATGACACTGTATAACAATAATTAATATTTTTACAGTACTGTAACAGTTACAGTAGGCATTAAAAATTTAATAGATATCATAAATAATACTATGTACAACTACTGTTTTTACGTTACTGTGATGGTTGTGTTTAGGGATAGGGTGCGGGTAGACGTTAATAAAATACAATAAATGGGAAATGTAATAAATAATATAAATAATTCTCATTAACTTCCGGCCGCAAACGTATCCGATCTAGCAACAACCCATAGTAACTTTTGGTTTGGTTTTAACTGACAGACACACGTAGCCTGTACTGTGCCACTGACACACTGATTTAATAACTGTGACAAAGTGAAAATATAGACTAGTGTCATTTTGAAATGACAGAAAAACACAAACCGTGGTAAAAACAACACACGAAATAAAACACAAACAGCTCGCGATTAGAATGAACAGCAAATCAGCAGCAGAGGATCAATAACAGACTTTTATTGCTCATTTTTGTAAATTGCACGAGTTTCATACCTGTTAAGTTTCATGCCAGTACTCTGGTTTGCTCTCTCTCTCTCTCTCTCTCTCTCTCTCTCTCTCTCTCTCTCTCTCTCTCTCTGTGTGTGCGTGTGTGTGTTAAAGAGCCGCCGAGCTAACAGCTGACAGGCCGGCAACGCACACACACACTGTATTTCTGACGGCAGACACGTGAACTAGGAGAACGTTTTTCTCGTATTTCTGACGCGCTTGAACCACATGTGACCGATTATAATGGCTTTAACAGACACATTTCTAAGTTGTGTGACACAAAAACACTCTGTTATCCATTAAAAACGTTATTGAAACCCATTTTCGGAACGCAAATGACCAGTTGTACACGCTGTACACGGAAGTTTTTAGCATTCTACCGAAAGACGCTGGTCGCTATGGCGCCCTCCATGCAGCAGCCATGAAAAAGGTCTATACAATTTACAATGTCGCGCATGCGTGAAGGCGGGTTCTAGCATCTGCGCAACACTAGCCACGATGAAAGAAATTATCTTGCTTTTTAGCTCTGCGAAATATGCAAAGTTCGTCCAACTTTAAAATGATTTTGAGGCGGAGGAGGAGGGAAAGGGCCGTCATCGCAGCTTGTGCCTATCGTTTATATATGATGTCCTCCACTATTCAGAGGAGTTTGTGGGTACAAGAGAGAGATCTCAGGCCTGGTGGGAGCAAATTGTGGCGACTGACCACTTTCCTCCTCCATGTTTCCTTTGCTGTTGTTGTTTACCGCGTCGACGTCTCCACTCTTCCTTCTACGTCTTTAAACCACGAAGAAGTACCACACTGCTGCAAGTCTAATGATGTACAAAACAGAACGCCTCAATAAATCCGATCTGCCTGTTTACATGATAGTCGCATTGTCACATATCTGATTTATTTCCACATATGAAGGAGGCCTGAAAGCCATCTCCGAATATCCGAATGCATGCGTTTATTACCTGTTTACACGGTCATAGACCAGATCCGATCTGTGTCACATGAGCAAAAAATCCAAATTGGGTCACATTTAACTGACTGATTGATTGGGTAAAGTCTAGAAGAAATACAGCTGCGGATACTCAATAGAGCATGATTTTTGCGACACCGCACAACAATAATTAATATTTTTACATTACTGTGAGGGTTGTAGGGGTTGGGGTTGACGTTAAAAAAACAAACAATTTAATGAGTAATTTAATAAATAATATAATTAATTCTCATTATAATTGCTGTTTTTACATTACTTTGAGGGTTGGAGTAAGGGTAGACATTAATAAAATACAATTTAATGGGTAATTTAATAATAACATGAATAATATTGTGTATAATTACTGTTTTGACATTACTGTGAAGGTTGGAGTAGCGGTAGATGTTAATAAATAAAATTTAATGAGTAATTTAATAAATAACATGAATAATATTGTGTATAATTACTGTTTTTACATTACTGTGAAGGTTGGAGTAGCGGTAGATGTTAATAAATAAAATTTAATGAGTAATTTAATAAAAAACATGAATAATATTGTGTATAATTGCTGTTTTTACATTACTGTGAAGGTTGGAGTAAGGGTAGACATTAATAAAATACAATTTAATGAGTAATTTAATAAAAAACATGAATAATATTGTGTATAATTGCTGTTTTTACATTACTGTGAAGGTTGGAGTAAGGGTAGACATTAATAAAATACAATTTAATGAGTAATTTAATAAATAACATAAATAATTTTGTGTATAATTACTGTTTTTACATTACTGTGAAGGTTGGAGTAAAGGTAGACATTAATAAAATACAACTTAATGAGTAATTTAATAAATAATATAATTAATTCTCATTATAATTGCTGTTTTGACTTTACTTTGAGGGTTGGAGTAAGGGTAGACATTAATAAAATACAATTTAATGGGTAATTTAATAAATAACATGAATAATATTGTGTATAATTACTGTTTTTACATTACTGTGAAGGTTGGAGTAAGGGTAGATGTTAATAAAATACAATTTAATGAGTAATTTAATAAATAATATAATTAATTCTCATTATAATTGCTGTTTTTACATTACTTTGAGGGTTGGAGTAAGGGTAGACATTATTAAAATACAATTTAATGGGTAATTTAATAAATAACATGAATAATATTGTGTATAATTACTGTTTTTACATTACTGTGAAGGTTGGAGTAGCGGTAGATGTTAATAAATAAAATGTAATGAGTAATTTAATAAATCATATAAATAATTCTCGTTATAATTGCTGTTTTTACTGTTATAATTACTTGCATGGATTAATTGTTTACCTTAAGGCTAAAAATATGTGCTAGTAAAATAAACATTATAAATTATGATTGCATGCAAATCTAAACATTAGACAATGAAATCAGGATGATTACACAATTAATGAACCAT